TTGCCGCACAATCTGGCCTCCGAGAGTCTGCGCATGCATCACCTTGCCCCCTGACTCGGCAGCCTCGAACCCCATCATGTCATTCTCGATCCCAATCCGCCGGTCCACGCTATCCTTCATCACAACCCTGCTCGCGGCCCGGGGTTTCGCGCCAGCAAAGCCCGCCGCGGACCCAAACGTCGCAGAACTGTTGTGCACTTCGCGTGCGGTCTTCAGAGCATCGCCCCAGCGAAGTCCCTGGTACTTGTTGAAGTTGTTCGCGGTGTCGAGGTTGATGTCGAGTTCAAGGTGGCCGGTGTTGGGTTTGAGGCGTATAGTCTCGGGGGCAGCGCCGTGTCGGGCATTGTAGGGGCGTGTGCGGGAGCGATTGGGGTATTGAAGGAGTAGGATTTGTTCGCTAGGGACCGGCGGGGTGAGGTAGACGTCGTAGGTGGCTGTGACGGGGTCGTCGTCGGAGTCGTGTGATTGGGCTGCTGCAAGTGTGAGATGAGGGCAAGGGAGGGTGTATAGGGACTATGGGGAAGCGCGACATACGGGCCATGTTGAGTCTGGTGTGCTGTCACAATAGGGGGGAGAAGGGGGGAGAAGGGGGGAGAAGGGGGGAGTGAAGAGAGAGAGAGAGAGAGAGCGTGTGTGTGAGAGCGCTTGAGTGAGTGAATCTTGTTATCAGCTTATCGACGGGCAGAAAATCCGGGAGCTTTGACCACCGCGCCTGGCCCGCGTTCTGTTTCGGCGTCATGGAGAGCTCCTACCTTACCTTACTTACCTTACTTACTTATACCTTACCATCCGATAGACTGATCTTAATCAATTCACACACACCTCGGGATGCTTCATTGACGGCGATGATGGCCATGACCTGACCGACTATTGATTGAGAATTAGACGGTCCATCCTATCTGCACGCCTCGGTAGCTGTCGGCGGAGTTAGCGAGTCTCCCCCTCATCTACATCCATCTGGCCTCATATCGCCAGCACCTGGCCATTCAGCTCAACAACATTGAACAATCGAAACGTGCTTGCAGGGGACTGTTGAACCCCTGATCAATCAAGATGGCCTACCTCGCCCCCCTCCACCAGCCCTCGTCGGTCCGCCACGCCATCCGCCTCTCCTTCCTCGCTCCCGACTCCCCCGACCTGATCGTGGCCAAGTCCAACCGGCTGGACATCTACACCCCACACCCGCAGCAGCCCGATCAACATATACTCCACCACAGCCAGAGCCTCTATGGCAAAGTCACCATGCTGGAGAAGCTCCGGCCCGCGAGCTGCCCAACCGATCACCTGTTTGTCGGCACAGATCAGTACCATTACTTCACACTGTCCTGGGACTCTACGCGGAGGGAGCTCAAGACGGAAAAGGCCTACGTGGATGTAGCGGAGAAGGCGGCGCGGGACAGCCAGACGGGGGACCGTGTTCATATCGACCCCACGGCACGGTTCATGGCGCTCGAGTGCTACGAGGGCGTCGTAAACGTCGTGCCAATCGCACACGCGGGGAAAGGGAAACGAAAGGTGGAGGAGGCGGCGGAATACGGCGAGCTGCTGGATCCCGTGCCCGTGAGGATTCCCGAGATGTTTGTCAAAAGCTCTGGGTTCTTACACAAGCGCAGCGGCGGCGGGAAGCTGCCGAACCCGGAGCTGGCGTTGCTGTTCGAGGACCAAGTGGCGGGGAACAAAGTCAGGTTAAAAGTGCGCGAGTTGGACTTTACGCCGAGTCTAAGGCCGCAGGAGGAGCCGCCGACGGTGGAAATGGAGAAGGGGCGGGATGTGCAGGGCGATGTTGAGCTCGGCGCGACTTTCCTTATCCCACTGCCGCCGCCCATGTATGGCATGCTTATAGTCGGCGAGACAAGCATTAGCTACGTTGATGAATGGGACTACCGCATCGCTGCCACTGAACCTCTGGACGAAGCTACCATCTTTGTCGCTTGGTGCCAGGTCGACGAGCAACGATATTGTCTCGCTGACGATTACGGAAGACTATACCTCCTCTTTCTTCATCAGGACGAATCGGGCGAGTATAACGGCCACACCCTCGACGTTCTTGGTCAGACCTCTCGCGCTAGTACTCTAGTCTACCTGGACAGTGGCCGCATCTTCCTTGGCAGTCATCAGGGCGATAGCCAAATCATTCAGATCCGCGAGCAGGGGCTCGATGTCGTGCAGACGTTTGCGAATCTCGCACCGATTCTAGATTTCACGGTCATGGACATGGGAAATCGCTCCGCCGATGCACAGGTGAACGAGTTTTCGTCTGGTCAGGCGAGGATTGTCACTGGATCTGGCGCGTACAGCGATGGTTCGCTCCGCTCTGTACGAAGCGGGGTGGGTTTGGAGGATCTCGGTGCGATTGGCGAGATGGGCGCGCCGGTGTCGACCATGTTTGCTTTGAGCAGCAGTAAGGGAGTGGGGTATCAGGACACTCTACTTGTGTCTTTGGTCGACTCGACGAGAGTATTCAAGTTTGATGAAGCGGGCGAGGTGGAGGAGGTCGAGGCATTTGGAGGCAGCGCTATGGACCAGGGTACTCTCTATGCCGGCAACCTACCCGACGGCCGTATCATACAGGTTACTAGCTCCGCAGTCTTGGTCGTGGAATCAGGTGACTCCATGGTGCAGGACTCTTGGCGTCCTGATACTGGTGTCTCCATCACCGACGTCGCGGCTGACGACACTACCCTCCTCATCTCCCTTGGCGGCGCATCTCTCGTTGCACTCGACCTCCAAAGTTCCAGTTCCATTACTGAGAAAGCCCGCCGCACACTGGACCCCGCTGACCAAATTTCCTGCATCGCTCTCTCTCCGGACCTGCCGAACACAGCCCTTGTGGGCTTCTGGTCCGGATCCCGCGTGTCCACTCTCGACCTTACCGCCTCCCTCGCCACCGTCGCCACCCTCTCCCTCGCAGAAAGTGACCCCACCTCCCCAACCGCCATTCCTCGCTCCCTCCTCACAGCTCGCCTCGCCCCATCCCAACCGCCAACCCTTTTCATCGGTCTTGCAGACGGCACTCTCTTCACCTATGCACTGCCGCCGACCTCCCCGTTCCCACCTCCCCACCCCACCCGCAACACTCTCACAATAGGTACCTCCCAACCCAACCTCGTCCGCATTGCCCGCACCGACTACCCATCCACCTTCAACCTCCTCGCCACCGCCGACCTCCCCTCTCTTCTCTATGCCTCCCCCGAAGGCCGTCTGATCTCCTCTGCCGTCACAGCCGAAACACCCTCCGCCGCCGTCCCCTTCAATCATCCCGCCTATCCCTCCGCTCTTGCCCTTGCCACGGGTGCAGAAGGCGAAGTCAAGCTCGCCCTCGTAGACGAGGAGCGTACGACGCATATTCAGACCTTGAGTCTCGGACACACAGTTCGTCGTATCGCTCATAGTCTGGAACTGGGCGCCTTTGGCTTAGGAACGGTGAAGAGAACGCTGGAGAAGGGCCAGGAGATTGTAGAGAGCTTCTTTCGCTTGGTGGATGAAATAGGGTTCGCTGTCATTGACCAGCTCACTCTGAAGGAGGATGAACTCGTCGAATGCGTTCTGGCGTGCGCGCTCCCTGATGGATCGCCGGGTGGAGGTACGGCGGAGCGCTTCGTCGTTGGGACGGCTTTCTTAGGAGATGAAGACACGGAGGTAGCGAGAGGCAGGATCTTGGTCCTCGAAGTCACGGAGGAGAGGAAAATCAAGATCGTGGTGGAGGCGGCGACGAGAGGGGCTTGCAGATGTCTGGGGATTGTAGAGGGCCGAGTGGTGGCCGGATTGGTCAAGACGGTATTGTCCCCCGTTTCGTTCTCTTCTCGTCCCTCATCGCTGGATTACTAACGTTCATCCCTCACAGGTCGTCGTCTACGCCCTTGAGCACCAAGCCACCTCAACCCCCACACTCGCCAAAGTCGCCGCCTACCGCTGCGCCACAGCCCCAATTTCCCTCGCCGTCTCCGGCACCACAATCGCCGTCGCCGACCTCATGAAATCCCTCACCCTCCTACATTTCAACCCTTCCACCCCCTCCCTCCAAGAAATCGCCCGCCATTTCGATACCTTCTGGTCCACCGCCGCCGCGCCCATCGACACAAACACCTACCTCCTCGCCGACGCAACAGGAAATCTCCTCCTACTCGCCCACGACACCAAGGGCTACAGCGCCGAAGACCGCCACAGGCTAAACCCAATCGCCGAGTTCCATCTCGGCGAAATGGTCAACCGTATCGTTCCCATCTCCGTCACGCCTTCCCCTTCCGCTCCCGTGGTGCCTGCGGCGCTCCTAGCTACCGTCGAAGGCGGAGTCTACGTCCTCGCGCTCATCTCCCCTGCCCTGCAAGACCCGCTCATGCGTTTGCAATCCGCCCTTGTCGAGCGCGAGGATAGTCTAGGTCGTATTCCTTTTGAGAGCTGGAGAGGTTTTAGGCATCCGAATTCGGTCATGGGCGTGCATGAGGCGAGTGCGGGGCCCGTGAGATTTGTGGATTCCGGGGTTGTGGAGAGGGTTTGTGGCATGAGTGAGGAGGCGTTGGGGTTGCTGGTGAAGGATATGGGCGGTTGGGAGGGTGGGGTTGAGGGTTTGAGGGGTTTGGGGGAGGCTTTGAGGAGGGTTAGATAAGGGTTTTATTTGGTTGAGTGGAGATTGTTCTTGAGCTGACCGGGAATCTGGCCCATGGGACATACCACGAAGGTTGTTGGGTCGCCGGTCGTTCTTGGTATTGGCTACTCGTGCCGCTCTTGCTCGTGCTGTGTTAAGAAATTTGGGCCACGCTGCCAAAAGCGTCGATAAGGTATTGAACGATCGATCGTAGAGCTAGGTAGTGTACTAGAGGTCTATAGCTCTACAAGAAATGCATCGCTTCCATCTACATGAAAGGGCATGCAGACGACAATCCAGTCGAGATTTCATCTGGCACGCGATACCATCATGGTTTATTGCAGCTATTATATATTACGTTGCTGTGCTCCCACCAAAATCTTACGTGTCGATTCGTCGTCCAAGATTGCATGCTGGTTTTGTAGTGTAGTGGTGATCACTCCGGATTTTGACTATATGTGAAAGTTTCCGGCGACCCCGGTTCGAGCCCGGGCAAGACCTTTTCATTTTGCGATTTATTTGGCCTTTTCATGGAAGAATTGATCTTTTTTTGACACCCTTGGATTTAAATTTTTGTTCGGCGCATTCGCTGCAGGACGGATGCCTGCAGCTGGTGTGCTGGTGTAAGAACTGGGACATCCTAGGGTAGTTACTTCCGCCTGCACGGGCACGGGAACGGAAGACGGCCAGCGGGGCACATTTGCGTTCTTACAGGATCCACGCTATTCTGTTCTTCTGCTTCAACTTTTACATCAGCTTTCAACATGGTTGTACGGAAGCGAAACGAGTTTCTGGAGGACGCGGAAAGCGAGGGTGAGGGAGGTGACGGGGGCTATGACTCGGATGCCGTTGGCGAGAGCAGAGGCGCGGTCCTGGGACGGGCGAGCAAGAGGCTGAAGTCTGCAATGGGAGGAGAGGAGTTTGAGTCGGATGACGAGAGTTTTCACAGCTTTGAGAATGAGGGAAGCAAAGAGGTTGTAGCACGCAAAGCGGCGGAGGAGGATGCCTCCCCTCCTGCTGCGGGCTCCGAGCGGTTCCAACTGGGCGACGACTTTGAAGACGATGAAGAGGACCAGACAGCACTCCAGCAAGACGACGCGACTCTACCGACACCGTCAATCAAAACCCTCAAATCCGTCGCGGCCGCCGAGAAAGCCGCCCGCAAGTCCGGCGTCGTCTACATCTCCCGCGTCCCGCCCTTTATGAAACCGCAAACCCTCCGGCACTTCCTCGCCCCCCACGCCCCCAAGGGCCTCGGCCGCATCTTCCTCACCCCCGAAGACCATACGGCGCACCTCGCGCGCAAAAGACGCGGTGGCAACAAAAAGAAATCCTTCACGGATGGCTGGGTCGAATTCACGTCTAAATCCGATGCGCAGTTTGCGGTTGAGACGCTGAATGGGCAGTTGATTGGAGGGAAGAAGGGGGGGTTTTACTGTGAGGATTTGTGGAATTTGAGGTATCTGAGGGGGTTCAAGTGGAGGCATTTGACGGAGCAGGTGGCGAATGAGGATGCCGAGAGGGGGGCGAGGTTGAGGGAGGAGATTAGGAGGACGAGGGTGGGGAATAGGGGGTTTGTGGCGGATGTGGAGAGGGGGAAGATGTTGGAGGGGATGGAGAGGAGGGCTGTAGAGAGGGGGAGGGATGGGCATGAAAAGGGTGATGGTGGGGAGGCTGTAGGGGTGAAGAAGCGCGAGCGGGAGTTTAAACAGAGGAAGGTTAGGGGCGGAGAGGAGAGGAAAGGGGAGGTGCAGAGGTCGGGTGAGCTGAAGAACGTTTTGAGCAAGATATTCTAGGGAGTCTGGGCAACTTCGCCTTCGGAATAGCGAAAAGTGATGATTACAGAATATAGCAACCTTTCTCAAGATTCTGCCTTGCGTGCTACATGTTCTGTCTCTTCAGCTGCGATGTCTGAGTCGTGTTTCATTGTACGGGCACATATGACTGTCACACTTGTATTATTGGGTAGGCATCCGCTGGGCCTGGCGTCTACGTAGAGGTCGTCTCATCTACATCTCTACTCCCGCGCCTCAATGCGGTGTTCTAGTCACAGTGGACTCCGGACGCTATGACTTGTGACTTGCCGTCTATTCTATCGAGATTTTTGAAATCATTTAGCGGTCCTGCAAGTGGCGGTCCTGTTTTCGTCCAGTTTGTAAGTTTCCCGGATGTAAGTCCTCTGCCAATACCTTCGACATCAATATGACCCCAGACTCAGTACATAAAGAACATTCACTCGCACTCGCACTGATCCAGGGGAAATACTAGAATGTGCAGCTCGTAGTCAGAGGCCCCTGTGTCTCACAACTCACTCATGCAGACCGCCACCTCAGCATGGATCGCCACCCTCGACGACCCCGCCCCCTCCTGCACCACCCCCTTCATCTCCAAACTCAACCGTGCCTACGTAACCTATGGCACCCTTGTCCTCCTCCCTGCCAGCGCCTACGACGAACTAGAGCGCTCCGGCCTCGACATCGAAACCCTCCAAACCGCCCTCAACAGCCTCTACAAATTAATCAGCCATCACTTGAAACTCACCCACATCGCTCTCACCCGCCCCATTCCACCCCAACGAACCATCCCCAACAGACCCGACAACTCGCCTCTGCAAGAAGAAAACACCCTCCGCGCCCCAGCAAACTTCACACCCCTCCACGGCGACTTCGGCCCCTCCACCGCCTCCTCGCCTCCCACCTTGCAAGACTTCTCACTCGCCTTCTGGACCACCGCAAAACAAAATTCAATCTACCAGACATGGTCACCACGCTGGACCATGTTCTCGCGTGGGAATATCAGTGAGAAGGCGAGGTTACTGACGTTGGAGTCGGTGGTCAGGGCTGTGGAGGAAGGAGCTGTGACGGGGAGGGGTTGCGCGGCGGTGGATTTGTATGTGGGTATTGGGTACTTTGGGTTTTCTTATTTGAAAGCGGGCGTGAGGAGGGTGTTGGGGTGGGATCTGAATGGGTGGAGTGTTGAGGGGTTGGTTAGGGGGGCAGGGGTGAATGGGTGGGGGGTTAGAAAGGTGAGCTCTTCGGATGGTGAGGGACTGGGGGAGGCGCTGGGCAGTGAGGCGAGGTTGTTGGTGTTTCAGGAGGATAATGTCAAGGCTGGGGAGCGGGTGGAGGAGGCTAGGGCGGAGCTACCGCCCATTAGGCATGTGAATTGTGGGCTTTTGCCCACGTCTAGAGGGAGCTGGGAGACGGCTGTCAGAGTGCTGGACGCGGGTCTGGGCGGCTGGATACATGTCCATGAGAATTTCGCCATCAGTGAGATCGAGAGCAAGGCAGAGGAAGTGAGGCAAGACATCCAGCGTTTAGCTGCTCAGCGCGCAGGGTATGAGCTACCAGCCCGCGCGGTGCGAGTCGAGCACATCAATAAGCTGAAAAGCTACGCTCCAGGCGTAATACACTGCGTCCTGGACATTGCCGTCCCACCTCTGATCACTGGTCCCTAGACAGATTGATAAGGAGTTTACACAATATACAAAGTCTTATCATACAGCCCTCGACCCCCGTATGTACTTTGTGTAGGTTAGGGGTATCTGTCAAAAGGTATACACTAAATACACAGCGACAAAGATGAACAGCCACGCCATCGTCTGCGCGTGAGGGTTTTCCTGCACCCGCTCGCAGAGCTCCCAGAATGCTAGCCACCCTACCAATATACCGCCCAGGACATAGATGGCTTGACGTGGGAAGCGGAGGTCTTCGGATTGTATGGCTTCTAGAATTCTCTGCTCCAACAACGTGTCGACGACGGCAGGGTCTTCAACCACCTCAGCCATTCCGTCGAAATTTGGATGGGATGTTCGACTCGACTATGGGTTGCTTGTCCATTCTTGCTTGTCGTTCTTGCTGCTCGTCTAGGAGGTCGTGTTTGCGGAAATGCTCAATGTCTTCCGGATGGATCAAGTCTTCTTCTTTTGTGTTCTCGTCGTGGTATCTGCTCAGGCACGCACTCTGGTCAGTCTCCTATCCCTTCTTCCCTTCTATCCCGACCCATTCATTCTATTGTATTCCCTGAAGAGGTTTACGTACTTCTCAAAATGATGAATCTCATACTCATACTCATCATCCCCATGATGTCCCGGCCCGAACCCGAAATCCGGCAACTTCAGCCCTTGTGCCGCGCCAACCGTGTACTCTGCGAATGAAATCGTGCCGCTGAGATCGCGGTCGAAGATCTTGATGACTTCGGCGACGGCTTTGTCCTTTTCGGCTTGTGGGATATGTCTGGTGGAGTCGTCTTTGAGGCCGTAGGTTTTGAGCAGGTCTTCCGCGGTCCAGGTGTTGCTGGAGTCGTAGTCGTGGAGGTTGAAGAAGGAGCCGGCGTCGAAGGATGTTATGTGGTGTTCCTCTGTTTGGTTTGAGTGGTCAGTTGGGGTTGAGTGTTGATGGATGGGGGTGGATCGCATCAGGGTGAGCGAGGGGTTGCGTGCCTGCCATGTGTCGTGTGGCCCAGTCCGCGTCTGCTGGGATGGGTTGTTGTTCGTGGCCGCCATGCGCCAGCGCAAGGGCTGTGAGGCCGCTGAGGAGGAAGGGAATTGTCGTGATCATCGTTATTCGTGGAGTGTAAACAGCTATTGCATCTAGATGTTTATCTAGAGCTTCCTCATATCCTGGGAAAAGGGATGTAGTGATTAGTGCCTGAGGCACATGTTTGATGTCAACTTCTTGATGATCTATTTACTCGAGTGTACCTTATTTACCTAGGTAATGGTAAGAGCGAACTATAGCATGTTGTGCGATGAAGTGAAAGATGCACAAAGACCCGACCCAAAACGCGAGAAGGCAGCAGCAGCAAGAGACCTCACTACACAGCCGTCTACACGCGGGACCAGGAGCGGTCCAATGCGTCTCCCACGATCGACATTGATCTCCTTTCCCGTGGCCCCTCCTCTCCAGCCGCAATGAACGGAAATGTCATTGGACCACTATCATGGCGTTCCAGCGTCATTCCAACATTGCTCATGTCAAAGACGCTTCACCGGTCTCCTCTTTCCCTTTGTCCCCCTCCTCCACACCAGAGCCCTACCTTCCAGGGCCTTCAGGCATGTATCACAGCGTTCATGCTAAGGGCTCGCGACACCATAATGAGCTTCCGCCATTGTGTTGCAGGATTTCCCGGGAGCCGACCGGTGAGTGAAATAACTGGGTGCCGGGTACTGGAAGGATGGTAGATGTGACACAGGAAGGTTGCAGCCAGCAACCAAGAACGATCCTTCGAATCACGCCCCGTGGAGAGTGTTCGAGGTATAAGAAAAACTCCAACTCTGCAGTCCATCCCGGTCTTTCATAGCACAATTTTCCTCAATACAGCCATCCCATAAGTTCAGAACATCCCAAACTACCTACCAACTACGTCTCACAAACATCATGCACTTCACCTCTCTCCTCCTCCTAAGCGGCACTGCCCTCGCAGCCGCCTCCTCCGGACAGGAAAGCGGAGGCAGATCCCTCCTCGTCCCGCGCGACTTCGATAGCCTCGAGAAACGCAAC